TATATATATGTATATATATATAGCTATATATATGTATATATATATAGCTATATATATGTATATATATATAGCTATATATATGTATATATATATATATAGCATTTATACTACTTAGAGAAGCTCATTAGTCCCTGATTGGATGTTGATTGGATGTCGATGGAGTAGACTTCTTCGTGTCTTAATCTTTCTGTTTTGTTCTCGTTATGTTTCAGTAAGTTCTGGACGAGGAACCGACCAGGTGATAAGATGAGAGACCGGTACAACCTGAACCTGCTGCCGGGGATGTCAGAGGACGGCATGGAGTACGGTGAGTCCTGAGCAGGAGCACTAAACGCACTCTGAAGGGTTTGAGATGTGATTATTTTAATCACAGCTGCTGACAGGTTCTGTGTTTGTGTTTCAGACGACGTGGACCTGAACAGCGTGGCCTCCATCCCTGGTATGGGGATCCCCGAGCAGCTCAAGGCCGCCATGGAGCTGGAGCAGAGCAGTAGGTTTCACATCCTCTTAGTTTGATGACAAAAGGTGTCCCACAGGGGTCAATGTTGGGTCCCATGAAGTTTACTCCACCTTGAATGTCATCCAAGACCGACTCGTACCCCTGGGCTAAAACCTCTCTGCATGATTTGTTCAAACATAGCTGCTAAATATCTTCATGTTTAAGTCTTCAAAAGATTCTCCTCAGTTATCGGCCATATCTCGGGTATGACTCGGGTTTATCTCGGGCGTAACTGAGATGCAACTGTTGCCTCCAGGTAAAGAGGCGGCTCCTGAGGTGGAGATGTCTATCCCTGGTCTTGACTGGGGCATGGACGAGGTCATGGGTAAAGACTCCAAGAAGGTCCCGCAGAAGAAAGTACCGTACGCCAAACCGATCCCAGCACAGTTCCAACAGGTAAAGGCCTTCTGCTGAGTTCATTATGAAGCTGTTGGTTAGAAAGTGTCAGCACTGTAGAAACAGTATATGAACAGTATATATAACCATGTTAGTGTTGACTGTGGACTCCTTCGCCTCGTGTCTTCAGGCCTGGGCAGAGAACAAAGTGCCCATGATGCCGCCCGGCGGAGAGATGTCCAAAGACCGAAAGGTGGAGCAGAAAGTGGACGGCAAAAAGAAAACTCAGTCAGAGATGGAGCAGGAGATGGCGTACACCAACCCGATGCTGCTGGAGGTGAGCAGCTCTTCATCTGTTGGATGCTCTACGTGCTCCTCAGAGTCTCATTTTTAACTCTTTGGTTCTCGCTGCAGCAAATGAAGATGGACCGGATGAACCAGATGAACACAGACGGGAACATGGGGCCTCAGCAGGGACAGGGCCCTATGCCCCCCTTCCCCGGAGGTCCTGGGGTCCCAATGCCTCCCGGCCAGCAGGGCTTTCCCCCAAACATGCCTCCTCAGCAGATGCCCAACAACATGGGGCCTCCAATGGGCCCCGGAGGCATGCAGCCTCCTTTCATGTCCCCTGGACAGATGGGACCACCTTCTGGACCCCAGTCTCACCAGGGGCCCACTCAGGGCAATATGGGACCACCAGACATGCAGAGACACCCAGGCCCGCCCAGAAATATGGGTCCCCAAGGGCCTCATGGTATGGGACCCAGAGGGATGCAGGGGCCCCATGGTGGGATGATGGGTCCCCCTCCTCGAGGAATGGGTCCAAGGGATCCTCAGGGTCCTCCACCTCAGGGGAACATGATGGGTCCACAGGGTGGGATGATGGGGCCCCCACCCAGGACACACGGCAATGCGCCAAACAACTATGGGATGGGCAACATGCAGGGACCCCCGGGAGGGTTGCATGGGCCTCCAGGAAATATGCAGGGGCCCCCAGGTAACATGCAAGGACCCCATGGAAACATGCAGGGGGCCCAAGGTAACATTCAGGGGCCCCATGGAAACATGCAGGGACCCCCATACATGCAGCACCAGGTGAGTTGATATCTGACTGGTTTTTAAAGGGCCCGTATCAAAGAGCATTGTGTAAATGTGGTCTGGTCTTTCAGAACTCGGGGCCTATGATGCATGGGATGGGGCAGCAGGGGCCCAACAACAAAGGTAAGACCACACAGACACTAAAAGTCACTCATCCGGTTCAGTTCCATTGTAGGTCCTGAGCTATTTGATCTGTTTTTCCCGTTGTCTCTTGTCTATGACCACTGTTGACTCTTCTCAGACCCTCGGGGACCGCCGCCCAACCACCACATGGGCCCTTCAGACCGGCAGGGACCAGGGGGACCGGACCAGGGCTCCAGCACTTACTGGGGAGACAACCAGCAGGGTCGACGTGGACCGCAGGACTTTGATGGAGGCCAGGAATTCCATGGCAGAGGAGAGGAGGGCTGGAGACCTGGACCTGGACCAGGATACCAGGGTGGAGGAGGGGGAGGACACCGGGGGGGGGGGCACCGAGGGGGGGGGGGGGGGGGGAACGCAGGGAACTGGGGCCCCGAGGAGAGGTTCACTGGAGGAGAGTTCAGAGGACGGAGAGACGAGAGGTGAGCAGCCTGATATACTGAAAACCTGCAGACCCTCAGAGGTCTGGACGAGACATGAACTGGACTCACTGGTTGTTTCAGGTTCAGAGGAGGAGGCCCCGGCCGGCTCGGAGCTCGAGGTTACTCCGACGAGTACGGCAGCCAGGAGGAGGGCTTCGATGGTCCTGAGGAGATGGGCAGAGGCTGGGACAACGGGGGCCGAGGGAGGCCGCCTCGAGGAGGAGGTCCACCCAGAGGAGGTGAGAGCTTCCGGTTCCATGTGACGTCTAAGAAGAAGGTTCAAAGGATGGACTACAATTCCCATCAGCCCTCTGCTGTTTAAAAAAACGTATTAAAAATGAAATCTCATGATTGATTAACAACAAGAACAATGTGATGGTTTTGTGAACCAACATTTCTTTGTCTCGATCTTACAGAATATTATTTCTATGCAGACTCTTATTGTGGCGGTGGTCTCCTTGCCTTCCTGTCCTGTAGGTCACGATAGCTATCGGGACGGTCAGCAGCAGATGCATGATGGGTCGTCTCCGACGGGTCGTGAGCGCTCCGCCTCCCTTCAGGGGATGGACATGGCATCTCTGCCCCCCCGGAAGCGTCCGTGGCAAGACGGCCCGGGAACCGGAGACCCCCGAGAGCGAGAGTCCCCGGGAGCCGACGGAGGTGAGTCAGCAGCACAATATCACAATCACACCGTCGTTGGTTTAACAAACTTCACCTGAAGCCTTGTGGTCTGGTTTCACCTGCAGGCCGCCCCCCACTGAGGGAGGACGGGGGCTACGGCCCGTCTGGTCGAGGTGGACGAGGAGGCTGGGGTCCCGGAGGACCTGGACCGGTCCCCAGGAGAGGAGGACCAGCACCCAGAGTGCCACCGAGGGGGGGCAGCCGGGGCCGGTAGTCCTGGAGGAAAGAAACAAACTCCCATGAACCCCCACAGACCTGAGTCCAGATCCTGAGGAACCTTCAGACAAACTTTTGGTCATGTGACACATTCAGATCTCTGCTGCTGTGAGGGACGCTGGCTCCTGATTGGTCCGTACTGACGGAGCAGGAAACAGAACGTTTTAATGTAAAATATTGTAGAGAATCATCGTCTCTTTTATTTCAGTCACTAGTCTTGTTGCTTTTTTGTAAAAGATTTCTATGTTTTTGTGTTTCACTGAGGTGGACAATAAAGATTCACACTTCAACTCATCGTCACATGAGGGGGGGGTGTAATATCTGAATAAACATAATACTCAGAGTACACACTCGGTAGTACTCAGTACTGTGTCACAGATGAAACCAGAGTTTAGTTTTGTATGAAAGTGACTTTATTCATGAAAAGTTCAAACATAACTATTATTTGGTCCTCTGAGCAGCAGCAGCAGTCTGTCTGTCTGTCTGTCTGTCTGTCCTGCAGCTCAGTGAGCAGAACATACGGTAATCAATCACGTGACCGGTCTGTGACGCTCGGTCCCGCTCAAGTCGGCATGGTTTTCCCGGTCACGGTCCTCTTGATGGCTGACGCCGCCATCCCCCCCATGAAGCGGATCCCGGCGCTTCCTCCTGGCAGCAGCGACACCACGTGGCCGACTATGACCGCGACCTGCACCGCGGCTCCCAGCGCAGTCAGCGCGGTGCTGTGGAGGCTCAGCGCCGCGTACAGAGTCCCCACGAGGGAGCACAGGTAGACGGCGGGTCCGGGGGAGGTGGACAGGCCGGCGAAGAGTCGGCTGGGCCCGCGAAGCACCGCCGCTGCCGCGATGGCGAACAGCGAACCGAGCGACCAGAGCAGCGCGAACTTGCGTGCGTAGAGCAGCAGCAGCGGCGCGTAGAGCGCAGAGAGGCCGAAGCACAGCACGGAGAACGACGCGAACACCAAGGAGACCACGAGCCGCTGACGGCGACTCATGCCTGGCAGACAGGGGTCCGGCTCGGACGACCACGGCCAGGAAAACCCGCTGTTTCCTCCGGAGCTCTGGCTTCCGGACGCACCTCCTCCTCCGGACCACGGACTTGACCACCGCCCGAACCAGCTCCCCGAGACCGGGTCAGGGTCGTCCAGGTCCACCGTGGTGCTGGAGCCGGACTGTGAGGTGGTTCTGGAGCCGCCACCTTTGGACTGGGCCAAATACTCCTGGAGCTGTCTGTTTAGTTCCGCCATGACGGAGGAAGCTAACAGGCTAGCTGTTAGCAATGGACGACTTCTTCTTCTTGTTTTTCTTCTAAACTTCCGGTTTCCCTCTGCTGCCCTCTACCGGTCATCTGTATTAACTAGAAAATGCGTTGGAATGCTGAAAGCTGAAATTAATTGCAGAGACATTGCTGAAAATAGATATCCAATAAAAAAAATTGTAAAAAGGTTAATTCTGGAAAGTCCTGTTAAAATCTAAGACCTGAATGACTGTGACATAGACAGAAAGATAGAGAGGAGAGAGAATGAGTGTGAGAAAGACAAACAGAGAGAGACAGACAGACAGTCTAACAATGCCTCCAAGTCGTGTGTGGAGAGAGAGAGAGAGAGAGAGAGAGAGAGAGAGAGAGAGAGAGAGAGAGAGAGAGAGAGAGAGAGAGAGAGAGAGAGAGAGA